AACACCAGGGTAAGAGCAGACCCCACTGTTGGCACCCCCATGTTGTTTCTTTCCTTGAATAGCATCAGTGTTATTGTGAAAAAGCATGAAAGGCTGTGCCCAGATTAAAAAAAACAAAATGATGGTGTTCTCTGTTTCATTTAATTGCTACCAATTAAATTATACTATATATATAACTTACAAACTTCCAGGTAATGACTTGGAATAATTTAATGCAAGGACTTGCATTAGATCAACAATTATGTAAAATCTAATTTATTGGGAAAAATATATATAAATTGTGTATTTTCCTGTTAGTACTTCCTTCCTTCAAATAAGGTTCAGACGTGCAAGTGGTAAAGTTAAAGCCACTGTGTATAGGATTTAAAATGTTCATCAATCAAAATTGACATGGCAGACAAAATGTACATCACAACCCAGCACCGATTAGGCATTTCAAATTATCAAAATGAAAACCAGGTGATTGAGCGTCACTGTATTGTGGTGAGAGGTTAACAGTCAGGTAGTAAACTCCAGTCTTTATCTACAATTCCTGACATTTTATTGATGCATTCAAAAACTTGTTCTTTTTTAACCCATCAAAATGGAAATAGCTATCAGAACTGAAAGATTTTACTGACCTGTATTTGGCTCCTGATGAATCAAATGATAACCATCTTAATCCAATGCATTAGTGGCTTTGCCTGCAGTTCCTCTGATGGCCACTCAATGGCATAAGGTAATTATGCTTCTGTGACAGGTAATAACGAAGCAGCAACTTTTATGGCTGGCTAATTAAGCCAACACTGAAGTAATAAAAACTGCAGTTCTTTGAATGGCCACTGGAGGCTGGCTGCAGAAGTAAGGCAATCTCCGTAAGGCCCCGTATTAAAATGGCCAACTTTACAGCAGAAATACACATGTTAAGAGCCTGGTAAAAAAAACACTTTTGGTCTCTATAGCTCAATTCCCCTTTCATGACAATTGTACAGGCGGTGAATTTCTCCCTTTTAAATTATATCAACACGGAAAGCAGAGTGCTATTTGCTTTTGCATATTTACGTGTTAACTGTAAAAAAAGGCAGTTAGGGAGGGACTTGTTGTGAAGGTTGACTGGCATTTATAGTAACCAATAGTGCTGTGTGTGTCACCCACCCACTGCTATGCAGCTAGCGCTATGAGCTAGCTTCAGCTAACAGCAGATACAGTTAGCTGCAGTACATTAGCGGTATGCTACTTTAGCAAGTATTTCTGTCCATCAGGAAATTCTGTAAATCACAGAGAGTTGAGGCTGAGCAGCCAGAGGACATCAGAGTGAAGCAAAAAAAATCATAAAATATGATCCAGTTTCACCAAAATCACATTACGTAATCGTCTTTGCCCATTTTTAGATTTACCATCAGCCTGCGGAGTAAGGACTCCCAAGATGGCGACGGCCAGAGCCGACCACACTTAGCTTCACAGCTCCTCTTCAGAAACCTCTTCTGACGTCACAGAGGCCAGGTCCATTTTAATTATACAGTCTATGGCTCTATCTGCTGCTATTCTTTTTTCTGTTGCAGATATGCTGGGCTTGTCAGTCTTTATAGATTTTAAGCCTAAACTAGCTAACATTTGTGGTATTGTTTCATCACATGATCAAATAGATATTTGATCATCAACATACATAATACCAGCAGTCATCCGTGCATATATGTGTGTGACAAAAATATTAATTAATTGAATTAGAATTTAATTTATTTTTTGTTTATTTTATATGTTTATGTAGAATAAGCCTGTAACTTTGTTGTAGATGGCTACCAACTATTATACTTTTAAAACAAAAGAAAAATCTGTGACTGAGATGGGTTTGCCTTTTAAGGGCACATATATTACATATTTCAATAATTCTGAGCCCTCTAACAACATATTGTAAAGAGAGCCTGATCGTGCTGCGGGCCTCTCCTCCCCATGGGCCCCAGTGTAACCATGCTGCCTGAACTGTATATTAAAGCCCTTGTGGCCACTAGAAGGTGTTTCCAGGAAAAAAGAATATTGAAATAACTCGGAAATCCCAAAATTCTCAAGTCTCTCTTGAAATACAAAGTAAGTATATTGAAACAGTCATTGGATGTGTGTGTGAGTGTGCGTGTGCATATATATATATATATATATACATATATATATATATAGCATGTATATATTCTGATGATAGTTTGATGTGTGTACATGTATATATGACAGTATAAATACAAACATTTCAGTCACCAGATTTATATACTACTATATTGATTTCTACCAGACATTATAAAATGGTTCTTACTGTTGCCTACAGTCGCTTTAATGTATATAGTTGTTTCCGATTGATCTGTTGCTAAAACTTTCTGACATTGACAGGGAAACCTTTCCTCAGCTATAGCATTGTGAAAACCATTTGAGGTGCGATCAATGATTAATTTGTGACTCATCTGTGCAGAGATGGATTTTATCATCTTATCCCACTGCATGTGATTAAGATAAGTTGGAACAGAAAGGTGCGTTCCATCCAATGAGAGATTGTTTTGACATGCAGACATGAGACACATCTGTTGTTTCTGTTAAAAGGGGTATTTTTGTACATTTGTTCTCACCTGTAGGTGATTACCTTGCAACATCTGGTAGGCTTTAAGATTTCCTTGAAGTTGTCAGCTACTGTGACCAACACTTATGCATTAATGGAGAAAAATTTTAATTGTGTTAATGATAGATTTAGGGTTTTAGGCTTAATGCATGGCACATGATTTCTATCTGGGGGAAAAAGTTAAATGTAGTGAGCAATTTTAGTTACGTTTACCATAAAGCTTGATTCTGTTAACATTTTAAATGTTTGATATGATTTCACAATAACTTTGATTTCAAAACTACATTATAACCTTTATTTGCCAAATACTGTAAACTTGTCATATATATAGTAGATTGTATTATATTATGTATTTATTATACAACAAATGTGTCAGATGCTATTTCGTATGCCCATACACTATTCTTATGTTTTAAAATAGTATATTCACAGTCAGTCACAGTCAGAGAAAACTCCTATATAGAATAATTATAATCTCAGCTAGGAGTCCTTGGAAGAAAACAACTGCATTGCTTCATGCTTTATTACTTCTTTTGATAGATAATCATTATTTGTCAGCTGTACCGTACGTTTGACAAATTTAAGGTTGTATCAATACAAATATACAAGTGCAGTTACATTATTGATAAAAGGAAGTAATTGTCTGTATGTAGAATGTATTTTGTGGCAGTTCTGTGAAATCAGGGACATTGTGACAGAGGTCAAAGGCTTTCCATAGTGATCAGTGTCATAGCTTTTGTTTATTGTTCGTTTGTTGGTCAGCAGGATATCTTGAAACATGTGAACACATTTCTGTTAAAGTTAGTGGAAGTTTGGTGGCAGTCTCAGTTCAAATAATTGTGCGTGTGCATATTTGTTGCATGTATGTACCGTCTAAGACACTTAAACACTTCCCTGCTCGGGTCTCCACCTTTACCTTGACTTTAAGGCCAAGCCATTCTGTTTGCTGTAACTCTGAAACTAAGGAAGAGTCCTAAAGGTATGTTTGCAGAGACAAATGGATTGTTCAGCATTTACAGGATGGTGATTTGAACCCTTGGAATGCAAAAATAGGTTTAATAATTTACCTAAAGGGTCAATCTCCATCACTAGTCACCAAAAGCTCCACCAATTAAAACTCCCACCTTTCCTGTTACAATTAGCCAAAGTGATAGTAAAATCTTCCCATATAAGGTCACTATTCTTTAGAAGTTACTTTGTTACCGTCTATTTACTGTGTGTGGTTGTAGTATGTAGTGTATACAAATCAAGAAACCCTTCTGAGCCTGGTGTAAAAAACTGCAGTTGCAAGGGGTAAGTAACAAAAGACTAGCCCATTTTTTTCATTCCAAAGACATAAATGCTATAGATTCATCTAGATTCTGAACATCTTTACTTCCACCAAAAATCTAACTTTTATACATTATTTCAGCATCGACCTCCTTCATACTAAATAGTATATGTACAATTTTGCGTGTGCTGAGCAAACATACTTGGCCAAAGGTAAATGTGCTTCTTATTCTGACTGGGTGACAATTTATTTGAAATTAAGGACTGACGGGCAGATCTAAAGAAATATTCATGGGGTGACAAGAGGGAGGCATGGAGACTGTAAGAGGTGGAGAAATATATGCTGCAAACAATAATATATTTGCTTGGAAAAGCTCGTCAGTTTTTAACAAGTTATTTTTAAAACTAATCTAAATGAATGAATAAAAAAGTTAAATTGGACAACGAACTGGCTCTGAAGACTGATTCGTTTAGGGACATATACCATCATATAATTATTCTGTATTCTGGTTAAGTATTGTGGGAGTCCATATAACCCCTTAAAATATATCATTGTTATGTCACAGTGTTTGTTATATATGGGTAAACATCCACATATCAAAGTATGTTTGTCCGTAAACTAAACTGAGCTGAATTTGTGCAGATTTGCTCCATGTTCCATTTCCCTAGTGTGTTTAAAGCTATAATAGTAAGAATGAATAAAGGCAGTTTTACTATACAAAGCTTGCTGTTCTTCTTGTAAGGGTGTGTTTACCTCCTTTTTTGATCTGTGGACTTCATCTACCACACACTTGTGTTTCCTTTTTACAATGCTTGTAATTTAATACTTGACATGATGTATACATTTTGTCTTGTATGTTTACAGATTGGTTAGCTATGCAGTAGGTTAATGTATAATAGTATTGTTTTCTGGGGACTCCCCTGAAAATTCTTGGGGAAACTCAGAAATACTGACAAAAATACTCATCAAGAGATTATTTTCCTCATCAAATGTGACAAGGATAAATTAAATACAAAGGGATGCAATCATCAAGAAGCTGCTTCAGAATCTATTAACACCGTTTTTTTTCTTTCAGTTCACTGCTTCAAGAAGGCTTTCTTGCTTGTTTCTTTAATCTTAATGACAATGCTATTGTGTTTCTTTGTCTTCCAGGTGCCACCGGTTGAACAAGCAGCACCCATCGGAAGTCCACCGGCTTTTCCTGGCCCCATCATGCTGTCCCCTACATCCATGCCTCCAGGAGGAGCTCCTTTTATGCCCACAGAGTTTGACCGTACAAAGTTGGTACCAGGTAAGACATTTGTATAGGACAATTGTTTGGATCTTTCCAATGTGAGTGTAGTCATGTTGATTGAAATTAACTTCTGTTTGGACTTGATAATATGAACAGGTCTCTGCTGCAGTGTTGTCACTGTTCTGGACTAGATGCTATGCTCCCTGGTCTGTTTTTTTTTGTGCTGCCACAATACTTTTCACATTTTCCCACTGAGGATCAATACAACCTTATTCTCTTTTGCAGCAGGAAGTGTAAAACTTCCAGAGGCGTCCACCAAGGATTCTATAGGGGACAAAGGCACACCCTCAGATGTAGGCACCGACAACCGGCTGGGGTCTCCTGTAGCACCGGGGATGACCCTGCCAGGCCCTGGAGTCATGCAGGGTCCCAGACCGGGTATGCCACCTATGCAGCCTCCTCCCGGGATGCCGAATCCTCATCTACCTCCATTCCTGTCACCTCCAAACATGCCACACATGCCCCCAGAAATGATGCCCGGAGGACCTATGTTTCCACCAGATAGGTTCAGAATGCCAATGCCCTTTCCTCCTCGTGGCCCCCCTTTCCATCGACATCCTTCTATGGGACCAGAGGGCATGAATGACAGAGAAGGGAGGCATTTCCGAAATGGGAGGCCAGGGTTTGGGTGTCCGCCCTTCCACAGAGGGAGGTGGTAGATGTTAGCTGAGTGATGGACCTGAAGGGGAGAGGATGCTGAACCACTGTGAGACATACTAACAAATATCAGGACATCCGGTTCAACAAGGACTGCGGTGAACAACTGTTGGTGCTGAAAAGACTTTATTTTATACCACCAGAACCTTTTCCTAGTGTCAAAAAACAAACAGTGAAAAACAAGACACGATGTTCTGAATGTGGTCTGTGCTCCTTCAAGTTCACCAGAGAAGAGACACTTTGCTGTAAATATTGTATGTGCTTGTAGCTGTTTGCTATCTTTTTGTATATTTGAAGTTGTGTAGTTTATGCTTACGTCTGTAATCCTGGTAGTTGGGGGTGAAAACAAAGGCAAAGTCTGTATTTTTGAGCTTAGTTTTTGTCTATGGAAGAAGATTGTAAAAATCTATTATACCTTTTGGGTATTTTGTTTTTAGTAAAATCCCTTTGTACCACACTGATGTTAAATTCTTCACCAGAGAAGACGGTTTTCATTTAAAGCAGAAGATGATTTCATGTCTTGCCAGTAGAGGGTAGAGTAAACCCTGTTACCATGGCTAGCCTCTGTTGTACATTAAGGTCACACCTTGTAGAATTATGTGCAGTGAATATTAAAAAGAGGTACTACCATTTTCATTGTTTTATTTGTGTGGACTGAGGTGGGTTACAAAATTGTCCTGCTTGTGAGGTTTCTGTCTTAAACATCACTTAGCAAACAGTCATGCATTTTCTGTGAAGCATACAGCTATACAAAAATACTTATCTGCAGTTTACCTACCTGTCATAGTCATGATTTTAAAGGTTTTAGTTATGGGATCTTGATAATAATATGAATTATTATTGCCGCCTAAACCATTGTTGATTGTTTAAATAGAAGTCAGCTTAGACCTAAGTCTCTTATCACATTTCTTGTCGCATTCATTTGCTCAAAAAGCATCTGTATGTTCGGGAGCAGGAGATGGGATGCACAGGCGGACTGCACCAATGAGCATTTAAACAATGCGTTATCATACGCGTATCTGTGTTGGTTCACACGATGATACAAACTAAACACTCTGCTCTGCTGTGTATTTCACACTTCATTGAATGCCGATTCGAGGTGAACCGCAGCTGATTGGCTCTGCGAATAAATAAGTGGCATTCCCATGATCCACTTGCACCCCGTCTCCAAGGAAGGTGGGCTCCGCCCCTCTCAGCGGTGTGGAAACAACACGCATGGTCCGTGGACAAGCAGACCTTGGAGAGGCGGCAGGAGTCGGAGACGCGGATGGGCAACACCGGCGTGTGAAACATGAAGATTTCAATGTCAGGACGGAAGCTGCCAGGTCCAGACGCTGGCGGTGACAGGTATGTAAGGAGACCGGATAGCACGCCGTCCTAATCATGATAAAGATCAATTATGCTCGATGTCCGATCATGCTTCCGCGTGGTCCTAGCGCCGTCTACATACATGACCGCGTCACTCAATCACACAAGTTTATCAGAGGTGACGGACGCTGCCGCACTGAGGCGGTCGGTGCGGTCCACTGGACGAGGCCGACAAGCTGTGTTATTGTACACGGGATGTCGCGCCTCTGGTGCCGATTAATTTAGTCAAACATCAGTGATTCAGGGGTAGAAACAGCCATATAGCCAGGATGACGGAGGACATACAGCAGGGTTAACGTGCATGTCCACGCATTTCACAGTCCATCCCAGTATATGAATGCACAACCTGCTCTAGGTCCAGCAGCTCTACTGACAAATGTCGCTTTCCATCAGCAGTAGGATGTTGGTTTGACGAGACTTGCAGAAAAAACAGACACGGTGACTCCGCCGTAATACCTTGAAGGTGTCTGAACGCCTCTGTGGTCATTATTACTGGGGGGGAGGAGGAGGAGAAGCCGTGTGTGGCCTCAGTGCGGTAAATTGTTGCATGAAGCAGTCATTTAATCGGACTCGTCTAGTCTTTCCCCGTAGTACAGATAAAGCAGCGCTGTTGTTGCATTTGCACATTGCTTTAATAAACAGATCATGTGCAGGTGACTCAACTGAAAGGCGATAACTCATTTGTGCAGCTGCTTTACTCCAATGACCTTATGGTGTCAAGTTTGTTGCAGCGTCACTGTCTCCTGCTGAAAGTGGTGTCTTCCTTCCTGTTGTATTGCTGTGTGGCTGTGATGATCATCTTAAACTGGTCAGTGCACAGGTGACTATATAAACTAATGAGAATGTGTAGTGATGTAGCAGGTTAAGACTTAATGCTGCATCATGACACTGAAATGTTTTAGCTTCAGTCTTTTGAAACTGAGCATTAATTGGCTGGCACAGTCAGCAGAATATATAGATACGATTTTTTGTGTTGGGCAGGCGTCTTGTTGCTGTCATTGCGTGTGCAGTTTGTGCTGCCAAGAGAAATAGAGTTTTTCTACAAATAATCCCACCACTGGGAGGGTAAGGTACAGTTTTTCCTCAGTCAGCAACTTGTATTTACGGTGACTCTGGTATGACCTGACTGGTCTACAAACAAGCCATGGTAAACAATCAAAGGGATTTAGACACAAGAGAAAATATATCGTATATTATAATAAAAAATAAATAAAATAAATTTAAAAAAAATAAATAAATAAATATATATATATATATATATATATTAATA